GGGGGGGTTGGACAAAGATGGACATGAGTTGGTTGAGAAAAGCATCTGCTTTGTTGGTGTGTGTTTTGATGAAGTGCTCATTGTATTTTGCATGTCTCTGTATGTGTGGCCGGCCTCGTATTTTTATTTTTGGTTGAATTTTATTTTAGTAAATTTTAGTCAGTGTTTTGTAGAGGTATTTTTTGCTAACTTTTTGTTAGATGTAAGTATATTTAGTAATATCATCTGACTTGAAAGAAATCAAGCTCTCAATTCACTTTATTTATAATTTAAAAATGAGGATCTGTGACTTTATTAAGAGAAGTCAAGCTGTTAGGAAATGCGTCTTTAAAAAATTCAAGCTCTGAACCCAGTTTAATTACTCTATATTGACGGATAACAGATGACCTCAAAGCTATCAAGCTGATAACACAGAGAATAAATATTAAAATTATTGCATGTAACCTTTTTAAAAAAAATAGATGACCATTCTCATTCTGTAAAGTTGTGAAACTGGGTACTGGAACTGACACTGAGGGCGCTAGTATAAACCTACTCTGACACACTAACACCTGTCTTCGCTAACAACAGTTGTTTTTTGTTTGTTTGTTTTTTTTCAATTAATTTTTCTCTTTTTGAGCGTGCCCGAAAAGTAGTTGGTTATAGACCTGTCAAATGTGGTTTTTAAAAATTAAAAACTGCATTATGGACTTGTTAAACATGATCAAAAAATGTTTTAGACTGTGTTATGGAACATAAAAAACATAAAAACTGAGTTATGAACTTGTATAACATGATTTTTTTTTAAAGTTAAAAACTGGGTTATGGGCTTGTCAAACATGATTTTTAAAAATTAAAAACTGTATTATGGATTTTCAAACATGATAAAAAAAATAAGAACTGAATAATGAACTTGTCAAACATGATTTAAAAAAAAAAAAAAAATGGGTTATGGACTTGTTCAACATGATTTTAAGAAATTTTAACTTTGTTATGGATTTTCAAACATGATGAAAAAAATAAAAACTGTGTTATGGACTTGTCAAACATGATTTTTTAAAATGAAAAATGTGTTGTTATGGATTTTCAAACATGACTTTAAAAAATGAAAACTTTTGTGGATTTTCAAACATAATTGTTAAAAAATCTAAAACTGTGTAATAGACTTGTCAAACCTGATAGGTATAGAAGGAAGAAAAGAAAGGACAACTTTGAAGTGACGCGTAGAGTGTGGGAAGCTGCCAGAACGGTGCAGACCATTTTAGTTTTTCCGTGTGTTTCCACATTTGTGAGACGTGCTGACGAACTGACTTACTTCTCGCAATCCACAAATTGGAGATATTGGCCGAAAATCGACACTAGGGTTAAATTTGTAGAATTTCTTTTGATGTCATAATCTTTAACTATAACATGCCTTTTACTATTTCAAGCTTATAAGTTGTAAAAACTTCACCTATAAGCGTGATGTATCTGTTACCATAAGGCTCGATTCCAAGAAGTAACTCATTTTGTTGTTGTTGTCGATCCAGCAACAGCCGGGTTCTCGCCCTTCTGTCCAATGCCATGTAGTGATAAGTGCAAGTTTGCTGCAGTTGCTGTAATGTTCCATAGAGTGTGTTGTCTATGTTAGGTCTCGGAGGGAGAAGGGTAGCTCTGATGTCATTTAGGGCTGTACAGTGGTACAGGTGATGCTCCTCAGTGTCATATGCATAGTCACACAAAGGACACATTGGGGGAAGTTCAAAGTCATTTTGTCAGCACGCTTCTCATTTCTTTCTAACCCTTTAAGTTTTGATGTGAGTGTAGATCAATTGTTTTTTTAATCTTTTATCGTATATATATATATGTTGAGTTTTTTACTAACACTTTTGTTTTTCCTCCCCTCCTCCTGTTTTTTTTTTTTTTTTTTTTTTTTT